CCTCCACTTCTGCCCTCATCCTGCAGAGCCTCCTATTGGCCCCTGCCCCCACCCCTTGGCTTCAGAAAGCTCCTGCATTTTCTTCTTGGGTCAGAATGAAAATTGTAGGGCATCAAGTCTCCAGCCCCTCCTTGAATCAGGCTGAATTCTCCAGTGCATCAGGTCTTGTTTTCTTTCTAAAACGAACTCTGATCTTATCTAGATATTAGCCTTATCTTGGCGAGTCACTATACTGCATTGGGCTTTTTTGCAACGTGATATTGTGGAGACATCTTGACCCGTGGCTGCCTACTGCTCTGGGGAGAATGGAAGGGGAGTGTAGCGGGCCAGTCCTGGAGGCTGGGCTGAGGGCCACACTCTCCTAGGCTAGCAGGGAGGGCTGTTATCATCTCCTGGACTCCTGCTTCTCCCTTGCCCTGCGAATGTTCTCAAGGCTCCTGTCTCTGCCTGTACCCACATCACTTCCAGCAAAGACTACTGCAGTCACCTTCCAAGTGCATTCCCTTTTTCTGCCCCTTCCTTCCCATCTGTTATGGGTAGAATTGTCTCTCCTTCCTCAAATTTGTATGTTGAAGTCCTAACTTCCAGTACTTCTGAATGGGACTATATTCAGAGACAGGGTTTTGAAGAGGTCATCAAGTTAAAATGAGGTCAGGGTGGGCCCTAATCCAGTGACTGGTGTCCTTTTAAGAAGAGGCGATCTGGACACAGGCATGTTCAGAGGGGAGACAATGTGAAGAGATAGGGAGAAGGCCATCTCCAAGTCAAGGAGAGAGGACTCAGAAGGAGCCAACCCTGTGGACACCTTGATCTCAGACTTCGAGCCTCCAGAACTATGGGAAAATGAATTTCTGTTGTTTAAGCTACACACTGTGTAGTACTTTGTTATGAGAGCCCTAGTGAACGAATACACCTCTTATTTCTCACTGCCCACGACTAAACCCACACTCCTCACCACCCCCCACGCCTCTTCACGTCTGCTTCCTGTGCTCCCACCTCTTCCCTCATCTGCTAGGGGTCCCGTCTTGCTCACTTGATCCCCTACACTCTGTCTCTTGCCCCTGTCCCTTTTCGGAGACTTGCCCATGGCCCCTGTACCAAAAACCTCTTTCCCACCTCTTTGCAGGGCTGCGCTGCTTAATTTGGATCCCACTTCCAAGGTCACCACCTCAGAGAGGCCTGCCCAGACTACCTATTTAAAGTTACATTCCCCCCATATTCTTTCTCAGAGCACCACGACTTTTCCTTCATCACATCCTTAGTTAGTAACGTCATATATATTTATCTATCACCTACCTTCATCAAGCCAGGGACTGTTCACCTGGGTGTATATTTATTATCTAGTACAGTGTCCATCGTGTAATGATGCTCACTAAATATTTGTTGAGTAAATCTTCATCTTACCAAAATCTCTATCCAGGCCTCAGGGCCCTGCCAAAATCCTGCTTCCCTCCTTGAGTGAGCCTTTCGATCCCCCCAAGTCCAAGACAAGCTTAGTCTTGATTTGTCTCTGTAAAGTGTCCCTTGTGGCATGGTGATCACCATGGCCCGACTGTATGGGTTGTGTGTGGGGTGCCCACCTCCGCCCCACATCCTCTGAAGCTGGCCTGCACACTGTGGATGGCCTCAGTAAATGTATGTGGACCCAAGTAGATCAGAGAGAGGGATGAATGGTGGAGGAAGTAACTGGGCCATTTACAGGGATGAAAAGTGCACCCCTGCCCTCCACAGCTCCCAATGAGAAGGATGACAGACATTCCTTTTGCCAGGGAGGGTTTGGGGGCAAACCTCAGCTGTGGGTTGCAGCCACAGAGCAAAGTTCTGGGGCTGAGAAGGGGCTAGGGGCAGTCCACTGGCCTGGAGCCCCAGAATTATAGAGCAGGCCAGACTCTTCTGCCCAGCTGTGGGCTGCTGGGGAGGGCTGGGCATCTGCCAGCTCATCTCTGTAGGAGAACCCAGCAGGCAGGAAAGGGGGAAGGCCCAAGCTTAGGAGCCAGGAGCCCACCCCAGGGAAGGCCCCAGCCAACAGCCCCCCAAGGCTGCCATCCACTCACCGTAGAACCAGCCCCTCCCTCCTCCCCAGGGCTGGTGGGAAGGCCTTGGCCAGTCTTGGCTGGCTGAGCCCTCTCTTTCAGGGGCTGGGCCTGGACAATGGGAAGTGAAAAGCCCCCTTCCCACCGCCCTGGGGACATAAAGCAGGCCTTTCACTGTGGAGTTCTGGCTGCTTCGGTTGGTTCTTGGCACCCAGCAAGGCGGTGTCGGGAGGGGCGAGAAAGCAAGTGTGTTGGGGGTGGGGATGGGCCGGCGATTCGGAGGATGCTCGCCGGCCCTGGGCCACCGGGCAGGCTCCCCAGCTGTGGGATGAGCTCATTCAGGGAAACCGGAACAACTTGGGGTGGGGGATGGGCATCAAGGAAGCTGGGAGATCGTGGCTCTAGGGAGCAAGTTTTTCGTGGGGAGCAAGGACAAGCACCTACTCCTCTGGCCCTGCCCATCACCCTCTCCATTCGAGATCGGCAATCCCGTAGCCCTTTCCAGGCTCTTTCCCGGAAATTCCCAGGCCCCCGCCGACCGCCGGCCACTGGCCCCGGGACTCGCAGATAGCCGAGCTCCGGCTTGGCCAAACCCCTAAGCCCGGAGCTCAGCCTCTCTCCGGTGCCTCAGGCAAAGGGGGTGGGGTGCTCACCGAGTAGTGTCTCTCCGCTGGGCGCGCCAGCGGGAACCTTCCCCACCCCCAGCCTTGCCCCTCCCGGTCCCCTCCGGCCTCCTCCCCCCCCCCCGCCCCCCGCAGTAGCTCTTCCCTCTCGCCCAGAGTTTGGCGTAGACAGCGAAGGAGCCATCGTGACTGATGGAGGAGTCTAGGGAAGACGAGACAGAGACAGCGACCGACTGGGGGTGGGGGATGGGGTGGGGACCGACGCTGAGCGTTTGGGGGCAGGCGGCAGCGGCGACGGGGGAGAGGTGGGGAGCAGCTCACGCCACTGGGAGAAACTCTCCCGGTTTGGGGCCGTGGCTGGGAGGGGGAAGGGAGAAGAAGCAGGATCCGGTTATTTAATTTTGAGGATAAATTGTACAAGTAACTCTTGCATCGTCCTTCCACCTCACCTGCCCCACGCACCCTCCCAATCCCCCACCCCTCCACCCGAGCGCATACATGCATTCCTCCCTCCATCCTGATTTTGTCTTAGGGTAGGGGCAGGACCGCATCGAGCCAAATAACCGGTCGCCCCCCCCGACCCCCGTCGCCCAATTCTTAACCCTGGGTGTGAGCGCACACACCCTTCCTTCTCCTGGGATGGGGTAGGAGGCTATTGCGAATGGGTTTCCTAAACATCGGCCCCGACCCCCAGATTGCAAGTTCAAAGCCACCACCCATGATCAGCTCGTAAGAGCCGTGACTTGGGGAACCGCATCCTTCTTTGGTTACCTTTTCACAGACAGTATTCCAATTTCCAAACGTGGAAGAGGCATGTGTGTGTGTGTGTGTCGGTATCACTGTGTGTATGTGCGCGCGTGTGTGGATGGGGGGTGTATTAATGGGTGATCTTATAAATGGAAACGAGAGGACTGAACTTAAAAGAAACTGGTCAATTGTAAAACAAACAGGAATAAACAACCCTTTAGATGTAATTTGTGGTTTATCTGGAGGTGGAGGTGGCGCTGAAGAGGAACCCCCACCCTCCAATATTTTTTCCTTTGCTGCGCCTCCACCCCCAGCATTTGGAGCGGCGGAGAAGCGGCTCCGGAGTGATTAATCCGGGGATAATTCACCCCCCCGCCCCCCGGCGCGAACCCCGCGAAGCGGGATTGGAGCGAGTCATTTCCGAGAGCGCAGCGCGCCTCTCCCCGGCCGGGCGGACACTTGGTTCATTCCAGCCGCAGAAGCTCAGGGCTCCCGCGTACCGGGATTTTTTTCCGAGCAGAAAAAAAGCTCCAGAGCTCTCCTGACCTCCTTTCTCCTCGGCGGCGAGCGGAGCCTCTCCCTCGGCGCTGCCGGCCGCGCCATGCCGCGCTCGCGGGGACGGAAGCAGGGGTGCTGCGGCTGCCCCGCGGGGAGGGCTCGAGGCGAAGCCAGAATTTCGGCGCTCGTGTCGGGCGCCCGGAGCCGCTGGGGCCGCCGGCCGCCGCAGCCAACGCCGCTGCCGCCGCTGCTGCTGCTGGGCTGGGGGCTGCTCAGCGCCTCGGCCGCCGCGGGTAAGTCCGGCCGCGCGGGAGAGCCGCGGCCGCCGCGCGCCCCACCCGAGCTCCTCGCCCACCCCTCTCCGACAGGCTCCCTGTCCCTTTCCCCGCTCTCTCCCTTAACCTTCTCCACTCCCAGTCGCCCACCTTCCTGCTCAGCCTCGCTTCAGTCGATCCCCCATCCTCCTCCCACCCTCAGCCGCGTCCTCACCTCCACCCTCACCCTCATTGCTACCCTCAACCCCAACCGCAACTTGGCCGGATGCGGCCGGCGTGGGGGGCCTGGGAGACAGACATCCCCGCCCGGGGCTGAGGGGCACCCGGACCGTGGCTTCAGTTGCTCCAGCCTCCCAGCCCCCCTAGGTGCCAGGCTTTCCCCGATAAACTTTCCTGGAGCCCTACCCCCACCGCCGCCTCCCGATTCCGGTTGGCACACGGGTCCTGGGGGCTGGAGAGGAATGGCGCGCCCCCTCCCAGTCTCTGCGTCCGCAGGGTCTGCCCTTCCTGCCCCCGCCCATTTGCTCGTGGAATGAAGCCCGCGCCCCAGCCGGAGCCGTATCGAGACTGCGGCCACCACCCCCTACCCAAGTGTCCCCCTCCCCCGGGCTCGTGGCTAGAGGTGGGGGGGCGGTCAGGTGGGCGCGCGCCCAGGGCCAGGGTCCTGCGCACGCCTTGCGGGAAGACTAAGGTGGGGGCTGGAGGGTGCTGAGCCACAGGGAGGCGGGGGCGGGGGTTGTGCCCAGGGGCGGGGGAGGGAGTGTCGCCGCCAGGTTCCGCGCCGCCACATTCCCCTCGGTTCCCACTCCGCGCCAAAGTGCCCTTTCCCGCGCCCTGCTGCAGCCGAGCGCCGGGGCTGCGGCTGCGGCGGCGCGGGCGGCGGGACCTGCTCCCGGCGACCGAGTCAGGGAGGGGGGCGGACCTGGCGGGTGCGACGAGTCCCTGAACTTCGCGGATGTCTGGCTGCAGCTTGCGGACTGGGGAAGGCACGCGGGCCTTCGGGAGAACCCAGTCCCCAGTGGGGACCAGTGGCCCCGACTGGTGCCCTTCCACTTTATCTCTCGCACCCCTCTGAGGCTCAGTGCTGGCCACAGCCTAGAAAGTTCCGTGTGCCCGGGTGGGGACGGGTCCAACGGGCGACGCCTGGGGCCGCATTTTCATTTAGCGGGGAGGCTGACACTGGGGGAGAAAACCTGTAACACCTGCTGCCTAGGCCTGGACTCGGGCCACCTCCGGCCTGGATCCGTGGTTTTTGTTTTGTTTTTTTTTAAACCACCGATTGAACCTCTGAAGGCTTGGCCTCCGCCACTCCAGCATCCCAGGGCTCCCTTCTTGGAAAGTGCGCCCCTTCCCTGGCAAGCTTTGCGGCCCACTCTGGGCTCCAGCATCTTGTGAACCCGTCCCTTAGCCGAGAATGTTAGGGTTGCTGTTCTGGGAAGGCGCCCTGACCTAGCCTCAGCTTTCCCATCCCGACTTGACCGGACTTTCTTGGTTCTCCTAGGAGTCATAGCTGCCGACACCCAGAGAGGGGCGCCCGCGGTGCGCTCGCCTAGGAGCTCTGGCCTCGCACACACCCACACCCACTGGGTGGCTGCACTGTTCACCACGACGCCGCTGGTCCCCTAGACTTGCCACATGGGCGGTGAGGGAACCGCTTCTCCGGCCTGGGACTGTCGGGGCTCTCCGACATTTGTCCAGGTGTGGCCCTTGCTCTGGCTTAGCCGACTTAGATTTGCCCTGAGGCGATGGAACTGTTTTTCTGGCTAGATTTGTCCCTGCCCCCGGGCATGTCATGCTCCCGGGGAAAGAAAACGACCGACTCACTGGAGCTTGCACACTGCTGGGCAGTGCTGGAATCCTGCCTTGTGGGGAGAGATCCATTGACTTCCAGCTCTTTGGTCAGTAGAGCAGTTGGCCATGGTGGTGGTGGTGGTGGTGAATGGCTTGGGGGAGGAGGCATTTGCTCTCTGGCTGGGGGCTCTGGCTTCCAGTACATTTCTTTTTAAACCTTTACCGCATTTAGATGTGCTGTTTGGCCTTGCACGCAGCAGAGGTTTGGAAATGGACCTGGTGACGGATGATCGCAGGGTTTGGCAGTTTCGAGGGGGAAGCACATTCATTTTGTGTTCTCTTTACACTGTTGACTTTACAAGACGCTCAGGACCGAACTGTCTCCCTTCCTTGGACCCGTGATGACTGAATGCAATGAATATAAGGATTTGAGAACGGGGAGCCTCCTCACTCACCTTTACCTTAGACCCTCAGCCCTTCATCTGGGCCATGCCTCACACTCCCCCTGGCTCCGGCCTCCACAGAGACCTCCCATCAGTAAACTCCTCTCCTAACTGTGGCTCAGTCTGTCTCCCTTCCTCCGTGTCCCCTCAGCCTGTGAACAGCTTACTCTATAATCTAAAGCAAGCTAACCAGACTTCTTGGCCCTGTTGACCTTTGAGCTACCATCCCATCTCTTTACCTTTACAAGTGTTCTCAAAGGGGTCTTCAACTCACTACTGTTGACTCTCTGCAGTCTGCCTTCTGTCCCCAGGATTGGTACTCTCTAGGAAAGATCACCAAGGACCATCCTGATTGTCAGATCCCTCGTACTTAACTGTGTTTCTCTTCCTTTACCTCTCTGTGACTTCGAACCCTTTGGGTTACTCCTTTTTAAAATTTCTTCCGTGGGCTCCTATACTGTGCTCTGCTGATTTCTCTCCTACCTCTTGGCTGTTTCTTCCCAGTCTCTGGTAGTAGCACTTCTTCCCTCCTGTACCCGTTTCCTGCAGCCTTCTATTCCTTGTGCCTTTCCTTTGCTTCCTTTCACCACTTTGTGGGTGAGCTCATCCAGGCCCAGTCCTTCCACCACCACACTCTGAAGCTTCCAGACAGATGTCTCCTGCCAAGACGCTTCTCCTGATACATCTATTGGCTTCCTAGTCCATGGAAACTCTGGGTCTAGACAACCCATATATCCAGCTGACTCTTGGATATCTTCACCTAGATGTTTCCCTTCCAAAGCAAACTCATTAGCTCCTTTCCTGAGCTTCCAGGATTCCCTGTGTAGGCTGGTGGTACCTCCCAGTTACCCAGCCCAGAAACCTTAATGTCATCTTCAACTCCTTCCCTCTCAGGTGGCCATCAAGTGCCTACCTTCAATTGTTACTAAACCTAGCTACTTTTCTCTGGATTCAGAGGTTCTGAGCATTGACAAGGCTGTCGTGCCTCCCATACGCTAAGTAGTTCAGAATAAAAGCAATATTGAACCGTAAGTATAAGGAATTCCACCAAAGTTCTGATTTTTCCTGTGCTAACCACTTCATTGCTTTTAAGAAAAAATCAAATACCAAATTACTTTTTGAAAAAATTCTCCCTGCTTTGCTTATTTCCTAAGTGCTTGTTTTCAGAGGTTTCTTGCAGACTGGAGCACTGACCATACCCAGTGTTTGATTGTAGTACTAATTGAATTGTCTTCAAAGTATTTATTTATTTGTCTCACATATTGAACTGTGAGCTTCCCGAAGACAGGGACAGCACTTTATTTCTCTTGGTATCCCCAGCACTCAGCTCAGGACCTAGCAGAGAATTAGTGCCTGATAAATGGTTGTTAAATCAGTGGATGGTTTTGAACTATTTTTTTTTTTTCTTGGATGGTTTTCTAGAGACTGATAAGGCTAAATCAAGAGTTTTAGCGGCCAGGACAGCCAGAGATGACAAAGATGCCTGGTCCCCTGTTGCTTTCCCCCTGGAACTAAATGTCACAGATTGGTAAGATAGTTCCTTAGACTTCAGAACCGATGCACAAGCCCTTTGATGTAACTGTGCCCACCCCCAAAAAGGAAAGATATTCAGCTACTTGGTCACCAGTGTATGGATTTGAATTTTCATTTGCAACTGAGCTGCAAATGTTTGGTTTTCAAGAAAGAAGCTGACTATAGCAGATAACGTTGACCATGTCTCTGGCTGGCAAGAGTGTGGCTTTGTTGAAGGTGAGGCTGGGATCGTGTGCAAGGCGACTGGACAACCAGATTGCGGGCTCTTCGATTGCAGGGTGTGGGTTTGTCCAGAAGAGTCCAGCAGGTGGCTTCGGCAGCACCACCTTGACGCATGTGCATGATCTGCCTCTGCCTCATCATCATTTTCATGCCCGCAGGATTAAGGGACTCTGATTGCCCAGCAGAGCCAGATGCTCCTTGTGGAGAACTGGTTGATCTTCAGACCTGTCCAAGGCTCAGGGTCCCCACTTGGAAAAGGGGCAAGTCATTCCTGTGTTGGGGGAAGCACTAGAAATCGGAGATGCACCAGACCCGGCATGTACCTACTTCATCCAGCGTGCCCATTTAGTGGAAGCCGGGGCTGAAGCGGGAACCCTGAGGTCAAAGGACTCAGCCTGGAAGTGTGTGAGCCCGTAGCATGGCCTCAGCCCCCCAGGTACCCCTGAGGTACCCAGGGGAGTAACACTAATGGCTGGTGGTCACTGAGTCCTCATCATGAGCTGGCACTTGGTTATATTAACTCAAGCCTCACTGCAACCTGGTGAGGCCGGCAATATTATCATCCCCATTTTGTACGGGAAGAAATAGGTTCAGAGAAGCTACGTAACTTAACCACACAACAAGTCAATGGCCAAGCCAGGGCTTGAAGTCAGTTTGCCCAACTCTGAATCCTTTACTTATAACCACACTGTCGTCCGACTTCTAAGGGGACCCAACTGGTGCCATGGCCCCGGAATCCTTCTGCCCAGGCTGCCTGCCTCCTCCCTGGTCTCCCCCCTGGGCTGCTCCCCGCCCCCCCCACCAAGTGATGCTGTTCTGCTGTTGGCACTCGAGGCTTGGACCCCAGACTTCCAACCCCGCAAGCAGCCATGGTCCGTCCGTGGTCTCCACCACAGCTCCCGTGACTGCACAGCCGTCCTTGGTCTGCTGGTCCCAAACACCCATCTTGACTGAGCTCTCCAGTGGGCTCTCACAGCCCCCAAGCTCCCCTGATGTAAAGCTCACCGGGACATATTGGAGTGTCTTGGT